TTTTACTTTTTAATTTCAGATCTTCCAATGAGTTCATCAGGCTGTGTCTGCTTCTTGCTTTCCCTGACTTTTACTTATCCAGTTAGGCAATGAGTGATGCAAATATTCGTTTCAGTCACTTTTGAGCCTCTCTAGAGACCTAAGCTGTCCCATCCTGTTCTTGCTTCAGGGTATCTACAGCTGCATCCATGGTGTGGCCATCGAGGAGCGCCAGTCGGTGATGAACTCCCCCACCGCCACCATGAACAACACGCACTCCAACATCCTGCGCTTGCTGCGCACGGCCAAGAACATGGCCAACCTGTCGGGTGTGAATGGCTCTCCACAGAGCGCCCTGGACTTCATCCGCCGCGAGTCCTCTGTCTACGACATCTCGGAGCACCGCCGCAGCTTCACACATTCCGACTGCAAGTCCTACAACAACCCGCCCTGCGAGGAAAACCTCTTCAGCGACTACATCAGCGAGGTGGAGAGAACGTTTGGGAACCTACAGCTGAAGGACAGCAATGTGTACCAAGATCACTACCACCATCATCACCGGCCCCACAGCATCGGCAGCACCAGCTCCATCGACGGGCTCTACGACTGTGACAACCCGCCCTTCACCACCCAGCCCAGGTCCATCAGCAAGAAGCCCCTGGACATCGGCCTGCCCTCCTCCAAACACAGCCAGCTCAGCGACCTGTATGGCAAGTTCTCCTTCAAGAGCGACCGCTACAGCGGCCATGACGACTTGATCCGCTCCGACGTCTCCGACATCTCCACGCACACTGTAACCTACGGGAACATCGAAGGCAACTCAGCCAAGAGGCGCAAGCAGCAGTACAAGGACAGCCTGAAGAAGCGGCCGGCCTCGGCCAAGTCCCGCCGGGAGTTCGACGAGATCGAGCTGGCCTACCGCCGCCGGCCGCCCCGCTCCCCGGACCACAAGCGCTACTTCAGGGACAAGGAAGGGCTACGGGACTTCTACCTGGACCAGTTCCGCACCAAGGAGAACTCGCCGCACTGGGAGCACGTGGACCTGACGGACATCTACAAGGAGCGCAGCGACGACTTCAAGCGCGACTCGGTCAGCGGAGGGGGGCCCTGTACCAACAGGTCCCACCTCAAACATGGGGCTGGCGATAAGCACAGCGTGGTCGGAGGGGTCCCCGCGCCCTGGGAGAAGAATCTGACCAACGTGGAGTGGGAGGACCGGGCCGGGGGCAATTTCTGCCGCAGCTGCCCCTCCAAGCTGCACAACTACTCCCCAGCTGCGGCGACCCCGGGGCAGAACTCGGGCCGGCAGGCGTGCATCCGCTGCGAGGCCTGCAAGAAGGCTGGCAACCTGTACGACATCAGCGAGGACAACTCCCTGCAGGAGCTGGACCAGCCTGCGGCCCCCGGCGCAGCCACGTCTAATGCCTCCACCGCCAAGTACCCGCAGAGCCCGACTAATTCCAAGGCCCAGAAGAAGAACCGGAATAAGCTGCGGCGGCAGCACTCATACGACACCTTCGTGGACCTGCAGAAGGAGGAGGCCGCCCTGGCCCCGCGCAGCGTGAGCCTGAAAGACAAGGGCCGGTTCATGGATGGCAGCCCCTACGCCCACATGTTTGAGATGCCAGCCGGCGAGAGCACCTTTGCCAACAACAAGGCCTCCGTGCCCACTGCCGGACACCACCACCACAACAACCCTGGCGGCAGCGGCGGTTACATGCTCAGCAAGTCGCTCTACCCTGACCGGGTCACGCAAAACCCTTTCATCCCCACTTTTGGGGATGACCAGTGCTTGCTCCATGGCAGCAAATCCTACTTCTTCAGGCAGCCCACGGTGGCGGGGGCGTCGAAAGCCAGGCCGGACTTCCGGGCCCTTGTCACCAATAAGCCGGTGGTCTCGGCCCTTCATGGGGCTGTGCCAGGCCGTTTCCAGAAGGACATCTGTATAGGGAACCAGTCCAACCCCTGTGTGCCTAACAACAAAAACCCCAGGGCTTTCAATGGCTCCAGCAATGGGCATGTTTATGAGAAACTTTCTAGTATTGAGTCTGACGTCTGAGTGAGGGAAGAGAGAGGTTAAGATGGGTATGGGAGGGTAAGGCTGGGTCGTGTGGCGCGCATGACACGGAGGGTGACGGGGGTGGACTTGGTCCCATTTGATTCTTTCTTGTTGTTTAATTTATTTATGGGATCCTGGAGTTCGGGTTCCTACTGAGGGCAACCCCAGTGACCAGCACCATCTCTCCCTTTCCCAGTTCTCCCCTCCTTCCCGCATCTGTCAGCCGTCCCTCTTCCCATGATGCCATGCAATGGGCCCTCTCAGCAGGGGAGGGTGGAGCGGGAAAGGAGGTGCTGCATGCAGGACTTCCTCCTGGCGGGGATGAGCTCCTCGCCATCTACTTGAGTGAAGCTAGGAGAACCAAAAGGAGTCCACGTCAGCACAGAGGTAGCTGTTCCCCAACTGATCTTTTCCTTGAGGTGAGGAAGCAGAAACTCTTGAGTGAGGCCATTTAGCATACTTCTTAGAAATGAAAAGAGGCTTTGGCAGCTCTTGTTGCTTAGATGAGATGGGTCTGGGTACCTTGTGCCAAGCAGAGGGTGTGTGGCCATGTTTATATATAAGCCAAAAAAAAAAAAAGTTGTCTTCAACTCCTTGAGACCCATTTGTGGTAAGCTGGAATAAATGGTCCCTGGTGGATGAGTGAATTCTTGAACAAACTGGAAACTACATATAATAGTGTCCCATGGTGCCCTGGAGGCAAGAATAGGTGGACTGTGTGTGTGTAGCCATGTACACTTGCACACACGTGTAGTCAGGTGCTTCTAAATGTAGAGAAGGCAACCTTGACTCATGTTGTTTCTTTCAACGTCCTTAAGCAATGTGCTTGTTTTGGCTTATATACAAAGATGGCCGTATGTTACCTGAATTTGGGCTGCCTCTCCCCTTTACCCTTCCTGAATGAGAAGAATGGAACTTCTTGACAAAGAAGGTTCTGTGATCTCTAGACAAAGGTATTGGTGAGCAATCTTGCAAAAGCAAAGTAGAACAATAATTCCTCAATGATTGCAAATAATTTCATCCAGTTTGGGCCAAGAACTTTCCAGGAAGGCTAAAGGGAAACAGAGGTAGCCATAATTATTTTGCCCATCCTTGGGAGCAAAAGATTCTATAAAGTTCTTTTAAGATTTTAGACCCTCAGCTGGCCAAGTTTTGGGGAGGGAGTTAAGGGAGGCTTTGAAGAAGAGGAGTCCTTTATGGTAGGGTAAGTGAGAGAGGGGGATGTTTTCAATGCTTTGATCCCTTCTTACTTAACCTGAAGCTAGGAAAGTAGGCTTCTTCCCCTAACACTGATTACAACTGTTATGGAACAGACAGTTATGAGAAATGAGCTTGGCTTTATGAGTCCAGCTCGGGAGGCACAGAGAGAAGAGGAGACTTGGTAGAGGGGGAAGAGAGGTGGGGAGGGATTCTCCACCACCTCTTTTGGCCCAGTTCCCTGGGAATGTGACTTGAGCCTGAAGCAAATGCTTTTGTTAGAGGCCCTTTCACCTTCCTGCAACACCTCCTTTCCCTCTCAGATTGTAATATTCAAGAATTAAAAAAGAAAACATGTATAAAACTCCAGGGATGAGGGTACTGGCAGACATGATGCCCCCTTCACTTAAAGTTGGAAAATGGAGAAGGGAAATGAATATTTGTCACTGCCGGTCCTGAAACTTGGGGTAGGGCTGTTCTGTGGGTCAGTTCCACTGTCCTGCCATCCTCCCCTGCACAGGGTGGCATCCAAAGAGCCCGGGGTCTGTTTGGAAGCTTGACTGCAGGACCGCCATGTTGCACACAGGACACACAATCCAGAAAGGTGCTCATCCTCCTCTGGAAGGAAGCTGCCATGTCTCTTCAAGTCACCCCCTCCAGGGCTGCTCTTTGCCTTCCCGTGTGCCCTGACTCAAGACCCTTCCTCATCCTGCCCTTGACTGCTGCCCCCAGCCCTCCTCCTTGATTTTTACCTCAGTATCTTTCATTTCAAAGCCAACAGAAGGCCTTGTAAAGCTTTGTTTTCTTTCTCAAATGAACGTGGGGGCAAGGGGCTGAACCTCTCACAGATTTGGAGAGAGGGGCACGAGTGCTTTACCTTAGATTCAAGGAGAGACTTTGAGAGAGGACAGAGGGCGTGAGGCTTCTCCAGGAGGAAGAAGGCGAAGGGCCATATAAACACCGCTTTGCCCTGACTCTGTCCAGGGGTCATGGGCTCATCCCCTCATCTTCCTCTTACCTCACCCCTTCAAAATAAAAAAAAAAAAGAAAAAAAACCAAACCAACTAACCTAGCGAACAGCAATCTAGAACCAAGGGGGCTTTTTCAGTCTCCACTGGTGACAGAAATCAAGACGGTGTTTATTTCATATGTAAATATTTTGTTTTCTAATTAATTTTGTATAGATAAAGTGTTCTCTTGTGAGTATTCAGGGTGTTGGGCTGGAGGGAGTGGGGTGGGGAAGGGAATGAGGGGAAAGGTGTCTTATTATGGGTTTTAATTTTCCATCAGGGGAAATTGTTTTGTATGGTTTATGCTTCAGAGTGTCTGGAAAAAGTGAATGGAGGCCACTATGGTGAAAAAGCCAGGGGAAAGTCATATGTGTCCATGCCCCTTTCCCAAACCAGTCTTTTTACTGGTCTATGAGAATGTCCATGCACTTTGACCTGGGCTTCACATAGAGCCCAACAGGCTCTAAGCAAACCCAGATCTAACTTATATCTTCTAGGTAGACCATAGGGACCCGTGTTCCACACAAAGACAGGCTGGTGGCACCCCATTTTCCCTATCAATACCTAGGGCAGGAAAGATTCCCAAAAGGGCTTAAAACAAAATCAAGGTCAAATTAACCTCCCGTTCTTGGTTTAGCTGAGAAGTTTCAGGAAGCAAAAGCCTAAGAAATCTCCCAGCAGCCTCCTCTGATGCTTACCAACCATCTCAGTCATTTGATGCTCTTCTTCCCGGTACCTGGGCACTGGCCCTCTCCTTGGCCCTCTACCCTTAGAAATCAGCACTGAAGGCTCACCCAGAACATTTCCACCAACTCTACTTTTTGAAGCATGTGATATCTGATGACAGAGAGGTAGTGCCGGTGACTTGTCTTATAAATTTCTGTGCTTTTCTAGAAAAGATGACCAGATCCCCTGAAAACTCAGTGACTAGATGATCTCCTTAGTAAAGTCACTAAAGTTGATTTTAGAGGTAGGAGAGTGGGAATGTGAGGAGTGATGCCAGTGGTGACTCTGTGTTTGCCTTGTCCTCGTTACTTCCATCAGGAAGGTGCTACTGGCCTTGAGCCAGGGATTCAAAACTTGACCTTGGATTAACCAGACAAATAGAATTTCTTTCACTGGACTGTTGGCTTTGTAGAGGGTGGCAGTTTCTCTCTTTACAACAGGATGAAATTTCCAAACCCATTTACCCAGCATGTTACATTATATTGTTTCCTATCCTCCCACCATGAAAGTATCAGCTGGATAACTCCATTTTTCTAAACCCATGTTTGGTCCTAATTGGTCACTTTTCTTCAGGTGGATATTTGCACTGGACCAAGTTAGGATGTTCATTGTCTGCTCAAGAAAGTTTAAAGAGAAGGAAGCCAAGCATTGTTAAGTTCCAGGTGTTACGTAATTTCAGAATAACAAGCTGGTGAAAGGCACAATGAAGAATTCAACAGCAATCCCTGTATGTATGAGAGATGGGTGGAACCAATATCCACTCAAAACTGTGCTATTCCACAGATATCCTCAGGAGCACCTTAATAGTCTCATGTTCTTCAGAATCCATGCTTTTTCTCTATCATATCATTTTGGATGTGGTCCAGTATCACTCCTTTAAGGGGCAATGTTTAAACCTCAGCATTTCCATGACCTCAATAATCCAACCTTTGAATTGACCTGAGTCAAGGATGTGCACACCCTTCAGAGTGATGCATGTACAGTGGAACTTGTTCTTTCAAAATTCGTCACTGTGTGTCTTCAGCCAGAATGTGGGAAACATGCTTAATGTGTATTCCCCTGTACTGGCCACAGCCATGTTGTGATTGGGGGGAAAAGCCCAAATGATTCCATTAAACGTTGCTGATGTCAATAGTGCCAAAATGCATGTATAATGTGAATAGGATAGGAGTTGCCTATATAGTTATGTGAATTTCATCCACCCAGTCTTCCATGGTCATCAGGCATTGCCCAAGGGAGAATTCTCTGCAGAGTGCTGGTCACCTGCACATCTCATTTAAGACCTAGGGTTTCTTTGTTTTTGTTTGTAGTTCAATATTTAGAGATTTGTTTGTAGTTCAATATTTAGGCTTTGGAAAAGCTATTCCAGACCTCATTTTATTCTTTAATCACCATCCCTCTTAAAAAGCCCTGTCATTGCTTGACACCCTGTGCGTGTCTGTTTTGGAGTGTTAGGAATGATTCAGATGTACCCCTATGTGATGTAAATGCAGTGTTATTGATAAATACATTTGGTGTTTCCAGGGACTGTGGCCATACCTTCTGTGCTCTCGAGCCCAAAGCTGCACAGGAAATGCATGCTCAGTGGGCTACTGAAACACTATAGCAGAGCCTTTGCCTTCTCACTTGGGTGTCAGAGACTCTTCTTATTGTCTGAAGAACTCTTTACAAAGGAGAAACATCTCAAGGTGCACTGTCACTCTGCCATGGGTCTGGCCTTACATGTGGTATATGTGTAAGATACTTTCTTTTCATTCCCCACCACACTCCAGCCCCACTGGTTGCCCACACAGATGTGTTACTTTAGCACTGAATAATGTTCATCCATCATTGAAATGAAAGTCATCCCAGGAAAGGTGACATATTAAGCCATATTAGGGATTTATACATTTAAACATCTAATTTACACTAGGATTCTCATTCCTTTTCCTGGGAATAAGTTATGATACAAGAGAAGAGAGAGAGAAAGAGAGGGAGAGAGAGAAGAGAAGAGAAATGCACTAAGAGTAACAGAGTAGAGAACACAGCAAGTTCTAGAAGGAAAAGACATTTAAACCTTATTTTCCACCTGCTTTTTTTTAAGGCTCACATGATACCCAAGTAGGGCTTCTAGCTAGGAATTATTTTCAGTACACAGTCACATAAGTGTGTAAATTTATGTATTTCTAAGTTTCATATCTTTTAGGGCTATGACTTTTTCTATAGAAAATGGGAATCTGTTGCTTTTCCACCATCATAGGTTACTGAAGAGGCAGCTAGAAAGATCAAATTGAATTAATGGTATAATAAAAAGTTACTGTCATTCTCTGCTCTCTGTCTAAGTTCAGTTACTCTTCCAATTTGCTAA